ACAGAGTGGAGGAAAAAATTAGAAATCAAATGTTCGTTCCTGTTGCTCCAGGGGAACCTGATGCCAGATTTGAAGTGTTCTACTGGTTAAGATGAAAAAGGAAACAAGAATCATAGCTCTCTTGATCAGGAAAAAGGAAAGACCATAGATTTCTTTTTTTTAGGGAAGACTAAATTTTTGTTGGCACTAAATTTTGAAAGAAATTTCTCCTATGATACATAGTAGAGGGATATCCTGACAACAGTTTTTGGATCAAATCGGAATTTTCTCTAAAAGAAATTCACTACTGCTATAATGACTTTTGATAAGAGTTAGCAACTGTAACAATGACGTTTAGCCCCGAGATGCTGATTCAGTGCAGGCTTTGATCAGTTCTTGAAAGCACAGTGGATGAAGCTCGAACTGGCAAGAACCTTGGGATACAAATGCTATTTCCGAATGCATTAGCCATTCTCTTCTTTTGCATCTTTGTTTGAAAATGTAAGTGCTGTGTCATCAATGTTGTCATCCAAATCATGATTTCTAACAGTGTGCAGTGTTGGGTGATTCCTGGGACATGCACTAGACACTTGTCCCTATGCCCACACTGATGATCAAGGAGGAACTGGTGATACGATCATGCAGACATGGATCCACTTAAGTTAGTTCTCATCTGATCTATGTATTTATTTATACCATGTCTCTTCACAATTGAGCCAATGAGGCACACAGAAGATGCATAATATAAAATGGTAAACAATAAATTAAAAATCAGGATGAGGAAAAATTAAATACGGAGTCAAGACAGGGGCAGGGTGTGAGGTGAGGGTATAGGGTGAGGTTGGACAGAATGAAGATGTGATGGCAATTAAGTCTTACTATTGTTACAAATTGGCTGCGCGTTTGTTTTGGGCTCCCTGGAAGGGAGGTGGCAAAATTGACTTATTTCCCTCTGTTCAGCAAATGTCGCCCTGAAACACAGTTATACTATGTTTCCATCATTCTCCCTAATCTGTAGCTCTTTACCTCCACGAAGAACTAAGGATGGTAATTGGCTCTTTGCCACCCAGCAGTAGCCCCCAGTGGCCTTGCCTTCACTTGCATTTCTAAGAGCTGTCTGCAAGGCTCTGCGCGGCTCCTCTGTTCCCATTCCACCCCAGGCTTCCACTCCAGGCTTGTCTCCCTGATTAGCTTACTTCATCACGTGCCTGACTCCACGTTGGGGCTGCCTTTCAGATTGGACTACCTCTACTAGCCAGCCCAAGTGGCGACTTCCAAGAGTGATTATCTGGCTGACCCAGCGTATCATGTTTTACCTGGCCGTGTTATGGGCTGCTGGCCAGTCTATGGACTGGTGGCCTGGGTCAGGTATCCAGTGACCCTGGTCGGTTAGCTATGGGTCAAGTCAAATGGTCCAAACTATGAGCCAGGAGGATATGGAAGGAGCTTTGGGTGGAACTGTTTCCTTGCAGTGAGGTTTATGTAGGGCAGGTAATAAAAGACTTCATCTACTCACCCAGGAGAGGGACTGAGTGCCCTCTTTGCTCTTTGAATTTGTTTATAAAATAAAAACCTTTGTCTTTCTTAAAATCTTTTCTTCTGAGTTGTTCAAGTCAATTTCTTTGGAAGTATATGAAAGGCTTTAAGATCCTGTGGTAAACAGTCTCTTTTAAATGTGTTAGGAATATTGATTTCTTAATATATTTCACTATAATCCCCTCCTCACTTAAAAATAAAAGTCATTCTGCCCTTGTACTGTTCACCATGTAAGAACTTATTCACCATGTAAGAACTTGTTCACCATATAAAAACTTGTTCGTTATGCTTCAGAAGATTGGAGACTGTTGAGAATTAGGCTTGGGGTTGATTAATGATTGTGCATTGAGTCCCCTATACAGAATTTTATTGTTGTTAACAACCATATGATCAATAAATATGAGAGATGCCCTCTCAAAAAAATAAA